AAGGTGAGGTGCAGCCAGCGACGGGAAGGAGGAAGGAAGAAATTCGAGCTCCGCGCTCGGTCCAGTGCACGGCTCGCCTCGCAACGAGTCACCAGCCGCCAACTCAGCCACTGTGGCCTCCTGCCCTCTCAGAAGCTCTGAAGGCAATTGGTCCAGTACGGTTCTGTTCCAATAGCAACAACGCCCGAGCCGATCCGGATTGCTGTCGAGGTGGTCTTGCCTGGGTTGCCCAAGATGGATGTTCTTGCTCTTGTTGTTTCTTGTCCGTGTCGTGCCATCCTTACCAGATTGCTCCTTGCTCCGATCTCATCTGCAGCAGCAATTCATGTCTCGTGTTCCCCCTACCCTCGTCCACTCACCCACTCTCTCCTCCACCCAACTCTCTGCCTCTCCTTCCAATCCCCTCCCCTCCCACCTCTCTCGTCCTGCATCGTAGGGCTGGCGGCCGCGAAAGGCATAGCTCGCTAGGTAGGTCGGCACAGTAGGTCGACATACAGATGGGCAACTCCGACATGCTGGCGGCCTCCGTAACGATGCGTTTCAGCATAGGTAGTCAGTGACCTCAGCTGACCCAGGAGACCTCCAGCCGAGGCGCCAAATTTCGATATGTCGCCAGCAAAACCACGTCACAAGCATCGTCATTCGTGCGCACCATGACTGTTGCCCGCACCGCTTCATTCGCACGAAAGGCCCACCCCACCGTCAACCCCAGGAGACTGCTCCCACTTGTTGGATCCTTCGTCACAAACAAACCTTGGATCCAGCGGCTTAAGGCGCCTTTTGCCAACTCCCTACTCATCGGTCCGTCCTCCGTCAACGTCTGCGGGGTTTCCAGTTCTTTGGACGCGACTCGGGCTACGCCGAAGACAACCCTGGTCCCTGACCCCCCCGCCCACCCCCCTTTTCAGCCCGTTTCAGCCCTATACCGAGCATCATCACCACCCTTAAACGCCGCCTTCATATCCCACTCTCCTCTACCACCAATCGACCAACACCACCTCCCATGCAATCGTTTCTTGAACGCTCGCTCGACCATCCCTCGCACACCGCTACTCCGAACTCGTCGCGACCTGCCCACGCACTGAGCCACCCCCAACCACCCGGGAAGCCATCATCGATGGATACCGCCCCGCCCGGTCGACGTGGGATGATCGAACGCGGGCTTTGACTGACTGCCGGCAAGCGGCCTCGGTGTCTTCAACCACAGGAGTAAGGGCAATCACTGGTCCCCTCTCGTGCAGGACAGTCTGTCTTCTGGAATACTTCCGGCTTCTGCGCCTCGACGCCTCGAGTATCATGCGTCTCCGGCCAATCATGACGTGACACTGCCACCAGCGCTATCACATCGTATGCCGGCAAGGTCTGCCAGTAGGTTTTTTCATGCAGCCTCTCATCCTCAGGATCGTGAATCCCCCAAGGCGGAGGGACGAAGTCAAGGCCTTGCCATGAACGTTTTCTCGGCGCTGGACTGTCTCGGCCTTGACTGCCATTCATCACTTTCCCCACTGGCCTCAGCATTCACCTGGGGTTGTCAGCACTACTCGAGCTCTGCAGCTCGATCCTATGCAAGGCGAAACAGCGCCCACCGGATTTGCATACCAAGCACGCTGGAGCATGTCATATGGCTTGCCTATGCACTGCAACTTTCAGGGGGCATTGTTCTTACTGAGACAAGACTGCCGAGCGGTATCCATCCCCGGCTGGCTGTGCTGACAGTGTCAGTCAACTGGCGAATATGGCTTCCTCGTGACAACCGGCCTGGCGGGCCTTTGAGGGGATGCATATCAACTCTGACGTGCACCCCAGAAGCCGCGCCTCTGCATGTCCCCTTGCCCGCACGATGCTGAGTGGCCGCCACGGACATGCCGCTTCCTAGGTAGCCCAGGGTCTCCCTGACCTTGCCTGAAAGGGACTTGCGGGCGTTTCTCAACTCATCTCAATCTGCGAGTTATGACATTGGAGCGCCTTATACATCCATATCAACAGGAACATCATATAATTGGGGGTACCTGTGGCAGTCGCGTTGGTCTAGTGAATGTCCGATGGCGACAACCTAGGTGATCAAATGCAGAAGGCCGTAATACCATTTCGCATTTTAAGAAGACATCCAATGACAAGCTGCCTCCTGGCTTGGTGCTTACTCATCGCCCATCCTTATGGGAGTCTGCGGTAGCTCGTGATTGATACCTTGCTCAAGAAGGCTTGTTGCAGTCGACAACAACCAGCCTAGAAAGTAAGGGACATTTTGGAGAACGAATGTTGATCAATCAAGTGTGTCTAGCTGGTCGCTTCAAACAGCATCATCCATGGAGGAGGAGCTTGTACCCAATAGATGCATTCTGAACGTCAAAGGCTTTAGTCCAAATCAGCATACCACGATCGCGGCTCACGTGCTATTGCCGAGCTCCCTCTGTCAGCCGTTAATGCAGAGACAGCAATCAGTGTCGTGCAATGAAGCAGGATTTACCGAAATCTGCAGATTGCATTAGGATATTATTGGTTCGTTGGTCGTGGGAGGCAGCCTGTCGAGGCGCTGTGGTCCGCCTCATTCTTCAAGCGCGGGGTCATGGTCTCGCCACAGCCTTATGGCATCCGTCTTTTTGCATCTCCCCAAAGCAAACCAACTTCACATTGTGCTTCTGTGATTCAAGTCACGATGTGCTTTAAAGCAATCCAACAGAAATTCAGGTCGAAAGTTCGACGACCAGCTCCGGCTGAGGCCCGAGGTCCCCAGGCCGATATCTCGCCCCCCGAGCCGGTGCCCGGTGGATCCTCCACTCGCACGTCGCCGCCAGCAACCTCTGAAGAAGACGCAGCGCTTCAATTATGGAACTCAGCATACGAAGAGATAAGACAGAAGAACGAGCAGCTCACTGAGGCGTACGAAAGAATCCTCACACTGAACATTAATCGTGGGTGCTCCATCTGATTGCCACATGAACTCTGGAGAAAGACGGAGAGCCTAAGTCTGTGTACAGATGGCGTCGATGCCCTAACAGCAGCCGCGGCGAACATCTTTGCCAATGGCGCCGCAGAAGCACGCATTCAAAGGATGGCTAGATCGGTGCAAAAGTCGCTCGAGAAGATACATGCACGCCGCAGCACTAGAGAAGGGGTCATACAGGCATCTGGTCTTTTGGCCAAGCTTGAGAAAGTAGGGAAACTCGCATTGACACCGGCGCCTCCTCCGGCAACAATGGTCTGGTCTGGCATCTGTGCAGCGGTTCAGGTGAGTGTGTGCAGTAGTGTTGCACCGGTCTCTCAAAGAGTTATCCTGGATGGCTGCTGACTTGCGACTTCAAAAGATCCTATCTGGGCCTTTCGAAGCTGAGCAGTCGATGATTGATGGTCTGGAACATGTCATCGATCGAATGGACTGGTATGTGGGTCTGTCCAGAATCATCTTCGAAGACGTCGGTCAAGGACATCAAAGGCTTGTGCAACTCAATAGTTCGCTCGAAAGCCAGGTCGCGAAAATATATCGTGCGATTCTCACGTACGAGATGACAGCTGTCCTGTACTGCTACAAGGATCATCGGATATTTACGTATGCGAAGGTCATATGGGGCTCCTACGACTGGACAATCCAGCGCAGCAAGCTAGCCAAACTAGAAGAACGGCTGGATGGCGACATGGCGCACTATTCCAGTCGCGAATCCGTCGCAGCCCTTCGAAGCCTTCTTCGCGAGGCATCTGCGTCGTCTGGGCTTCTGCGAGAGATGGCCAGCGAAGTCCAGCATTTGTCGAGTATCCAACAAGCCCGGCAAGACCAACAAACCCAGCGCGACACTGAAGAGCGAACAAGGAGACGTGATCTCTTGATTGGAAGGTTCAAGAGGATTCCGTACGAAGAACGAATGCGGATCAACCCCCTTCGCGTCGCCAACACCTGCGAGTGGTTCTGTAGACACCCCCAGTTCTTGAACTGGCTGGAAGACTCGGACGGTCTGCTTGTTGTTTCCGCAGACCCCGGTTGCGGCAAGTCGGTACTCTCAAGATACCTGATTGAAGAGTACCTCCCAGCATCCGACAAGACGGCTCAAGCACGCATATGCTATTTCTTCTTCAAGGATATGCCTGAGCAGCGCAGCGCAGCCACCGCAATCTGCTCTCTGCTGCACTGCCTTTTCGTCCGAGAACCGCTGCTAGCTGATCATTGCGAGTCCTTGATCAACCAGGCAGGGAGTAATCTCACGTCACATTTGGCATCGTTGTGGGACGTTCTGGAACAGGCTCTCCGTCATTCATCCTGTCCTCCGGTTGTCTGTGTCTTGGACGCCCTCGATGAGTGTGATTCTGCCGAGATCCAGCAGCTTATCAGGCTTGTGATGGGCTATTCTCGTCGAACGGACAGAGGGCTTGGTCAGGGGATGTCAGGTTCTTAGTCACGACTCGGGGCCTCAACCTATTCTCGACAGTCTTCGTAATGTCGACCAAGGACACATTCACCTCGATGGCGACGGGAAAACAGAAAAGGATTTGATCCAAAAGGAGATCCAACTGGTTGTGGAGTATCGCTTATCTCAACTTGCCGAGAAGAAGAGACTAGATGACACGAAGAGGCAAATCCTCAAAGACGGCTTCGCGCTCAAGGGTGGGGAGGACAGAACTTATCTCTGGGCCAGTTTGGTCTTTGAGAGTCTCGAAAAGAACAACAACAACACCCAAAATGGTTGGAGGGACCTTGTTAGCAACCTCCCCCAAACCGTCGAAGATGCATATGCAAGGTTACTTCAGCAGGTCAGCAACGTTGACGCCGAAAAGGTGAAGAGGCTATTCCACCTGATGGTTGCAGCAAGAAGACCCCTCAAGCTTAAAGAGATGGACATTGCACTTTGTGCATGGGAAAATGTTCAGCATGAGCGTGTCGCTCGTTCAGAAGATGGTCTGGACCTCAACTCGGCCTTTTCTGACTGGGTTAGGCAAGCTTGCGGTCTGTTCGTGACGATCTACGACAATCGACTCTTCTTCATCCACCAGACTGCGAAGGAGTTTCTCTTGAATGAGGGGGGGGAGCCAGATGTGGTCAGGGAATCAGACCGCCCGACGGCTTCATGGCATCGCCGCATTACATTGACTGCAGCTCACCGTGTAATGGCCGAAAGCTGCATCGCCTACTTGTCTATGGATTGTTTCCGGAGCGTCCAGTTTCGCAATGAACTGATCGTGATGGAATTCATGAAGGATATAATATACCCCAAAGACATCTTTAGGTGGCGCGACGTACGATCTGTACCAGTCACGTTCTGTGACTATGCTATCTCTTTCTGGACTCATCACTTCGACTTTGCGCAGATCGTTTCACACGATGGCATCCAGGATATTTCCGATGGCTTTCAAAGTTCCTATCTCTCTCTTTTTGGTCAAGACAACCCGTTGTCCTCACCTTGGAGTATTTGTGCTGCTCTGCATTGTGAGGGCGTATCGTTGTCAGAGACAAACCTTCGCCCGACTATTGAGCTCGTGAAAGGCGAAGAACATCGATGTATCGAGGGCTTAACACCTTTAGGCTTACGAGCTGCTCTAGGCCACTTCGGCGCCGTACACGCGATCCTGGAAGAGACGTGCATCTCAACGTCAATGCTACCATATGAGGGTTCGGATGACCTGGCCCTGCGAAGAGAGAACGGAAAGCAGGTCTCACATAGGCCTCGGTCACTGCCACACCAACCCAATTCAACGCGGCTTCCGTATTTGGCTCATCAGCCCATTTTCTTCGCGGTAACTCAGCCGCACTGCAGCTGCCTAAAATACATACTCGCAACTTGGCGGCAGTCGCAACTTGGCGCACTTGCCCCAGACGGAACACCCTTGTTGTTATTCGCCGCGAAACACGGTTTTTATCAGGCCGTCACTCTATTGCTACAGCATGGCTTTGACTACACCATTCAGGACCAACACGGCCACAACTTGGTGGATGCGTTCAGGGCCTCACTTGGAGCAAGTCCTAAGCTTAATTATATTGGAATGGATCCGGAAAGCTGCGAAGAGGCTCTTCGCTTGTTGTTGGCTGTATCGCAAGCGTCCCAGTGGAAGCCCGATTGGTCGTGCCTTCTACGTTTCGTAGCTTGGTTTCTAGAGCCCGGACTGCCAATGCTCAACGAACGGTTAGGCCGATTGGCACTGGCAATGAAACGTGGCCGTCCAGAAGCACTCAAAACATTCCGCGAATCACAGACTTTCACAAGAGCTTATAAAGAAAGTCTGGTCAAGGCCCTTGTTGACCGAGGGGCATCTGTCCGTGCAGTCGACGAGTGTGGTCGTTCGGCGCTGCACTTGGCCTGTCGAAACGGAGGTTTCTGGACCTTTATGTTTCTTCTCGAAAACAACCCCATCGTCAGCAAAGTAGACCGATCTGGGCAATCAGCACTTCATCATCTCTGTCAAAGGTTGTTTAGCGTTGGCGAAGATGAATTTTCTGTAATGGCGACCGTGTTGGTACAATGCGGAGTCGACATTAACCTGGCGGATGTGGACGGTATGACTGCCCTCTACTTCCTACTCGACAACCTACCACAAGCGGTGTGTGTGGAAAGTTTACTGAACAATGGCGCCTCTGTCCAAGTCAAAACACACAATGGTCGAAGCGCTTTTCACTTCCTTCGCCAAAAAGCCGCGCCGTCCGAGGTCGTAGAATTGCTCCTCAAATATGGTGCCGATATAGAAGCATTGGATGATCAGGACAACACCCCACTCATGAGCTTACTGTCTGACGAGTCTGAGGGAATCCATGAAGGGCAAGCACTGCTTTTCAAAGGCGCAAATTTGCATGCAAGGAACAAGGCTGGAGAGACCCCTTTAGGGCGGTTAAGATACCTGAGGTCGGCATTTGACGTGGGTGGTGAGCTCGCAAAAGTATGGCCGGCGACAGAATGTCTCTCTTTGGTGGTTCAGATGCTTGCCTGGGCAGATTCGCAGAATACGATGAATGAGTAAGGTAACACGACACTTCGCTTGACTTAAGGTCGGTCGACGGTTTTTGTTTCCCGGCGTAAAATTGATTTCTGGCTGAGATAAAATACAAACACGACCTTGTTCAGTTCACTACTTCTTTCTGGCGCAGCGGGATGGATTTTTCATGCGTTGTAGATATTCCCAATGCCCCGGATGCCCCTAAATTGGCTCTTTGGCTCTTCTCAACACTCTGATAGGAAATCATTGCCCCGCATCAGGATGATCCACCGTGACCTTGGTATTCGACACCTAGTACTCATGGTGGCGATTTCACATCTAGGACACGACACAGCCATCAATTATATAGACATGATTGAATCGTCACGATCATGATGTTCAGAGGATTACAGAGCTTCTCCGACCACCACCTACGCCTCCCCATCAAGCGGCTCCTCGGCCTCCTCATCCGCCGTCTCGACAAAAGTCATAGTGACACCCTCTCCAGGAACATTCAAGTTGACAGAGTCAAAAGTGCCATCCCGCGCGGCGACCGCCCGCTTGACCGTCGCACCGCCAACGACCTTCCCCGCAATATCAGCAGCAATACTGCGCGCCACGACCTCCGGCGAAGGAGACGAGAGACCTTGAGACCACAGTTAGCAGATATTTGAATTCAATTCTGCGCTCCTGCCACTCCCTCAATAACGCCCAAGGGAGAGAACCGCACATCACTTACCAGCCGGAATTCCAGACCGAACATACATGGTCGTAACCTTGGCCCTCCGCCTCGGCTGCCGCTGCCGCTGCCGCGCCTCGACGCCCCTCTTCTCCTTCAGCGAAGCCGGCGCGACAACGACGCCCTCGGCCGCGCCGCCGCCGCCGGCAGCAGCGCCCTCCTCGGTGCCGCGACCGGGCCGCGCGGCGGCCTGCTGGTTGTTGTCGACAATGATGCCGACGCCGGAGCCCTCGGCGCCGGTACCGAGCTGGACCTTGGGGCCCTTGACGAGGGCGGCCTCGGCGTAGCGCAGCGCGCGGTCGAAGCCCGAGAGGTCGCGCTTCGCCGTCTTGCCGTCTGTCTTGCCCGTGGCGGCGGGCCCGGCGCGGGGTTCGATCTGCTTGCCGTCGATGCCGAGGAAGGACGCAATCTGCTGGGCCTGACCTGGTTAGCATCACCCTTCCCGTTGACGCCTTTTGCATGACGAGCGCGGTGAGCCCCCAGGGGAAACGTACCTCCTGCTGGTCCGAGGTCAGGGGCTGGCCCTTGGCCGTGGGCGCCGGGTTGATGATGACGGGCTGGGGCTTGTCGCTCGTCTGCTGGACGGCCGCGGCTTGCGCGGCCGGGGGTTGCTGTCCGTTGGCCACGCCTGCGGCGGCGTTGACGGCGGCGCCCTCGAGGACGTTCATCAGGCTGTTGACGTCGCTGTTACCGCCAAAGGAGATCTCGCCGTCACCGACCACGAGGGCTGGGGAGTAGGCGCCGAGGTTGATGTTCAGGGGCAGGGCGTTGATGTTGCCGACGAGGCCGGCGGCGGCCAGGATGTAGTAGTGGTAGCTGTGCAGCATGGCGGCGGTGCTTCGTATTCTTCACGAAGTACAGCGTATTTCGGGCTCAAAGGTGTGATGGGACGTCAAAGAATAACGGGGGAAGAAACGTATCAGGGGTAGCTGGAAAAGACGTCCGGCGTTGTGATAGAGAAAGGAATTGTCCGCTCGCCAGGAGTCGAGATGTCAAACTTTGGAGGGAGCGACGGTGCGAGAGATTAACAGATGAAGATGCGATGATGAAAGCCAACAACAAATTGGAGGAAAGGGAAGATCTCCAGGGCTTCTTATGGTTTCTCTCACGACGGATCAAGCGCGCAGGACGACTCGAGTGTGATCAACACTGCGACTCAACAGGGCACAGAGATGAGTCCGAGTCGAGACAATGCCAAGAAAAGATCTTTCGTCTGTTCTTTTCCTGGCAGCATGAGGCTAGTGGTTGCGACGATGATGAGCACCGGGCAGCTTCTCGACCCTGACATGGCTCCTGCCTGGACTAGTCGGCTAAGAATTAAGCTTGAAACTGAAATGATACCCGAACATGATTGATAGGGATGCGTTTTCACCATTCATAGCACTTTAGAGGTTCTCGGGACTGGCCTAGGCGGGTCGTCAATAAGCTTGATCGATGGAACCCTCCACCTTCGCCCTCCCAAAGCTGAGGCCCCCGTGAGTAAAAATAGCAGAGGCATTCATGCCGATAACGAAGAAACAAATGTCCCTTTCCCCCGATCTTAATGCTAGGGCATATTACTGCTTCTGGGGGCGGGGGCCATGTGATGGACGCCTCGCGATACAAAGGGCGGTCTGCGCTTCTTGAAAACCCGCCGTCACGCCGCTGCCAGGTAGGTGGGTCTGAGGCTATTCGAGACGTTGCTCAGACTGTTGCCATGCGAGCAGGCTGCAGAATGACCATGTCAGTTTGTAATCCGTATGTGTGGTTGCGACAGACTTGTTGCGTCGCAACAGCCCCGGTGTCGCGGCGAACGTGAGGAAAAGAGATGGAGCCTTAGACTGTGTGTCGTGGTTGATGCCAAGGCCGCCATGACTTGCTAACCGGGCAGCCAAGAGCTGTCACTGTCGCTCGTCCTCTTGCTCTCGAATTTCCCCGCGGCCGCGGGGTACTGCTCCACCACCTCCGTACTCAATCCATCTTCAGCCCGATAACACCAGCTCAATCTCTTGCTTACCTTTCCCAGCCATTGGGATCAGACTGTTGAGCGCTGGTAGGGCTGCGTCTGGGGGAGAAGAGGACTCGAAAAGAAGCGATTCGCAGCATTGGTGGATGCACCACGGTTGAAGAGGACAGAGCACTCAATCGCGCATCTTCCACCCTCTCTGCCATCCTTTCCCCCTTACACCCGTCTCCCACTAACCTCGCGAGGAGCCTCCACGATCCAGATGCCCCTTCTCGTCCATGGATCGGGCAGGACGCGGCACCCAGAGCCGAGTCGACCCCTAGGAGTCCGACGAGAGGCGTGCACCAACGCCTCCAAGAACCCTCTCACGAGTTGCGGGCTTGGCACCTGAAACACTCACACCAGCAAACTCTCGATCCGTCCGATGACTCCCGAACCCACAGACTCCCTTTGGACGTTTCAGACTTGGCGACAAGGCTGCAACCCCTGAGCTCCGACCTCTGCCCCATCTCGTGCCGCCTTGCCGGTCACCTGTTCGCCATGTATCTGGAGCATCCGAGCAATGCCCTTGCCCGACTGTCTGGGGAAGCCAAGCAGACCAAGCTCCTGTCATTGACTTGGTGCGGCTGCCTTGGATCGAGCCAAGCCGGCAGACCCAGCTGGTTGGGAGGCTCATCAGACCCTCTACATTCCGATGAGGAAGAATCTGTGAATACGATCGAGCACTTGAGCCTTCGTGTCGAGTCTGTTGATACTCTTGTCGGTACTTCAACATGATTCAGCGGAGGGTAACATACACAATATGCCGAATCCCGCTCTAGGAAGCAGAGCTTGGACTGGCACGTCACAGAGTCTCCTCCTCAGGAGCATCGCGAGTCTGGCAGGGGCACACTCCTTGACCTGCGCAGCTTGCCGTTCTTCCGACGGATGCGACCTGGCCGAGAGGCTGATGGCTGACCCATCCAAGCGTCTCCAGCGGCCAGGCAGACTTTGGACATACATGCTGGCGAGCAGCCCAGAGACGGCTTCTACAGACAACTTCGGGCATCCATAGTTCTTCACTTTTGCCCGACTCGGTCGGGAGAGCAGTATTGAAGAGGGCAAGGTGTACAAGTACAGGAAGTCATCGTCGAGGTGGTTCGATATCTCAACAGCAGATGGTCTTGGGATCGGTCCGAACATGAAAGTGGCCATACTGATCCAGCAAGACCAGTGATGTGAAGGGAGGCATACGCGGCCTGTCAAGGCACCATGAGGCATACGAAACACCATTTTCAGAGGCCAAAGCGACTGCCCAGTCGGCGAGACACGTTCAACCACAGTACGTACCAGATATCATAGGCGAGGCACCTATAAGCAAGCCTTTTCGGAGCGTACCGAAAGCACGGGGTAGATGAGGAGTTGGGCGGAGAGGAGACGATTCGGTTTCCAAGGTTGCGCTGGCAGGATGTTCAAGGCTTGAACACCTGGGGGCTGGGGGCAAAAGGGTCGTCTTTGGCAGAGGGCGAGACTCACTACCCCACAAGAAGGGCCCGATAGTCTCGGCCGCTAGTTGAGCTTCGTCCCCGCGGTCCGGCCCCGAGTGCCTCGCTCGATCCACGGCTTGGTGCTCGATCCTATGTGTAACCACGTGCACCATGCAGTCTTGCCCTTTGGGACTGAATGCATGAGCGACGAAGCGTCCCAATCGTCGACCGCGGCAGCAAAACTGGCCCCCCTTTACTTGTTGGGGCCGTAGGCTGGCTTCGTAGCTCTGGATAACAGCGGCCTGAGAGGGGATGTGGCTTTCGGATCGCCGAGGTTCGACGCCAGCAGAACCTGGCCTCATCCGCACGCCACGCGTTGCAAGAGCATGCCGCGACAAGACAGAGCACACCTAGGCTCCATCCAGCGTGGGAAGTGTTCGAGACCGACGAAGCGCAGTAAGCATGACGTAAAGGCACGCGGGATGTTGGTGGGGTCCGACAAGACATGTCCGTGTGCCGTGGGGTAACCAAAGGGAAGAAGCACCAAGATCTATCTGGGCCGTGACGGGATGGGCGAAGCAGCCCGACGGTGGGCAAAGTCCGGCCGGTTCTGGCCGGTTTGCCGTGATTGGACACATCTCCCAGTGGTTAACGGACCTCGGGGGGCTGCGACGGACAAGGGAGAAGTACGTGATCGGTGCATCGAAGAAAAGGCTATTGTCCATCTGACAAGGTTGCTCGTGCGAGTGGGATGGAGGCGAGGATCCGGAGCAAAAGCCCCGCGAGAGACGGAGGCCCCCGGCCAGTAGGCGTGATCGATCCACAGGGCCAAAGAGGGGCGATGGGTGATGGGTGCTTGGTGATGGTGATGGGTGATGTGTTGGATGGACGATGGGCGATGGGACAAGAGTTTGCGATCTCGATGACAGGGTGCAGAATATGTGGGCAAGGTGGAAATGGGGCATGGTCGCGATTCTTTGGGATTGGGTTCAGTTGCCAGCCCCTCCTTCGTGGCTCGTTCCAAAGGGCAGGGGGCGCCCGAGGGGGGTTTCTGGCAAATAATTTTTTGCCTCCCCAAGCGGCCCTCCGGGTTCCCTGTTAGCTGCTTACTTACTTACTGCCTACTTTTTAATGGGGGGGGGGGGGGGGGGGAAGTGCACCTTGAGCTTGCCCATTCCGTATATGCTGTGGAAAGAAGGACCGTGTGTCTACGGGGCCGCCAGGTCCAGAACATGCAGTGGAAGATGGTGACGTCATGCGCCAGAGCTTGTTCTTTGGATGCTGCTCAAGCTGCCAATGAGAGCAGGCAGCTGCAACGCTGATTGTTTTGATTATGTGTTTGGGAGAGGAACTCGTTCCCGATGTGTGGAGGCTCTGAGAGAGATCTGGCGGGGCAAGGCAGAGGAGAGCTACAACAGGCTTCGACTGAGCCTCTGACGGTAGTGGGCATGAGGCTCCGAGGTATCGCACAGCCACGTATTGGACATGGGAGATTTTCTGATGCCCACCCGCTCCCCCCAGTTCCCCCTTCCACCATGCCTGCTCTGCTGTCCTTCGTGCCTGTAATTGAATTGTGGGGCGCTGCGCTGATCATGCTACCTAGGGGGGGGAGACATGGACTTTGTGCTGAAATTCCATGCCGTATTCCCCATCAACAGTCACGCGCTGTTGCGGGCGGTTTGTACCGGCGGGCGATCAAGGTACATGTAAGGTAGCAGCATCATGCATCATATCGACCTACGTAACGTGGCGAGACGAAAATGATATTGGCATGGCCTTACGGGCGTAGATCACACATGGCTGACGTTTGCCATGTACATTTCGTGGCCTTCTTGACATGTGCAATCCGGAACAGAGTCCACACCTCATCTGCGCGCGTTGGAGAGACACGTCTCAAGACCAGTGGCATGGCATGAGACGACCCCGCTATCCGGGTGGTGAGGGGTACGTGGTTCGTGGAAATGACGTAGGCACGGCGCTTTGCCTGATGTGTGTGCAGTGCATTGTGTGGTACATGTATGTGTTCGAACGAGCAGCATCAGCATCAGCACGGGCAAGAAGAGCAGGTGCACAAGCACGAGCAGCTCCAGTGTTCAGCATCTGCACCACCGCGTGCCCCACCGCGGGCTGCTCATGACGTCAGGTCTGGCGAAGACTGCCTCCCTGCAACGTTTGGCCCCGCCACAGCCAGAGCTACCCCGGTCCTAAGGCGAAAATGGTTTCGATGGGGAGACGATCAGGTCCCAGCAAGTAAGTCCATGTTGTTAGAACCATGATGCTGCTTCAGCCTAGCATACGCACCCTGACTTGTCTGACCATCGCAAAAGTGACTTCCCCCCTGAGCCGCAAACGTGCTCTATCATGACGTAGCTTCCCAGGCCCCATTGGGACCACATGATGGTCTTCCGACGACGGCCAGCCAACGAGACAGCGCTAAGCATCGGATCGTGGCTGTTGCTGGGGCGTACCCCTCCAAACCTCTTGCCTTTTTGCTTGCCTCGATGGGACAAGCGGCCCAGTAAAGGAAGCGGCCCCAGGAGACCAGTCGGGCAAACGGCCAGGAAGGCAGACGAGCGGGCCCCTCCCCCACCTGTGATTCAGCCACAGCAAATGTGAAGGTACGAAGAGTGACTGCCCGTGCTAGGCAAGAGCTCGATCTCACCAGATCGGGCGCCTGCCTCTGGCAGGCTCGCCAGAGGTCCTTCCCCCCCCCCCTATCTTCTATATAAACCCATCACCTCTGCCACCCATCGATGACATCTTTCTTTCCTCCATCAACAACTACTTCTCTACAATCAAACAACACTCAAACCAACCAACCCCAAACAACCAACCCAACCTTCACAATGGAGACTGTCAAGAACGCCGCCAACTACGTCGCTGAGACCGTTCAGGGCGCCGGTGCCACCGCTTCCAAGGAGGCCAACAAGGAGGTCGCCAAGGACAACAACGCCAGCATCGGTACTCGGTACGTCTCGCTTCTTCACTGATTCCCAAAATCTACAGCCTGCTAACATGTCTCCCAGTTTCTCCGCCGGCAAGGACGCCGTCGGTGACAAGCTCGACGAGACCAAGCACAACACCCAGGCTGATGTCCACAAGGAGTCTGCCAAGCACTAAGCAACTCCTCTTCACGATGATGATACCCCTACCCTCCATCAGGGCGGCAATGGTCACGAAGGCGTAATGGTACTTTTGGAATGAGGGAGTGATTGAGCACGAGCATACAGTCTGAGGACGAGATCCTAGATAGTTTACCCGCAATTCATACACTTTCCACAATCATACTTGCAGTGACTTTTGCAGTGACTTTTTTGCAGTGACTTTTTTGCAGTGACATGTCAGAGACTCATTCTGCGTCATGAGCCTCGATTTCCCATGTTCTACAATGCAGAAACATGTGGATCGACTTTATTCGGGGAATTATTGTGCACGGACTCCCGAAGGTAACATCGCCAACTGGCCAGTTCCTGCACTGAGCTATCGGCGTTGAGCTATCGGCTAAAGTTCCAACGACAACTCAACAACAGCGGCAAGACCATCGTCTGCAACCGTCCAACATGTCGATGTCCTCGAGCTCTCTTCCACCGGATCTCTTCGACCAGACGACTCTTATTTCCCTGGCAGCAACCGTCGTGCTCCTGGCCGTCGCCATCGCCGTCTCGCGACGCGTCCTCCATCCTGCCACGTCGGCGACGTACCGCGTCCTTTTCATCTGGCACGCCTTCGATGCTCTGATCCACTTCTTCCTCGAGGGGAGCTTCCTCTACCACTGCTTCTTCTCCTACATCTCCGTGGCCGACGTGGTCGACATTGGAGCCCTCCACCCGACGCCCTACAACTACCTCGGCCACACCGACCGCGTCTACGGCGCCCAAGCCGGCGGCGACAACCCCTTCGCCCAGCTATGGATGGTCTACGCCAACGCCGACAAGCGCTGGGCAGGTGCTGATCTGGTAGGAATCTCTCATTGCTCGCGGATACTTCATCGGGTGCAATGCTAACGGCGACTTCCCAAACAGGGCGTCATCAGCCTCGAGCTGCTCACCGTCTTCGGCGCCGGTCCGCTGGCCGTCTACATCTGCTACCTGATTGCGCGGCGCGAACCCAAGGTCAATTTCTGGATTGTCGTCATTGCCACGGCGGAGATCTACGGTGGTGAGTGTGACCCAGTGCAAGAACCCTTGTCTTCAGGGCACGGCTGACAGGGCGCGTTTTTTTTGTTTTTTTTTGCAGGCTTCATGACGTTCTGTCCCGAGTGGCTGACCGGCAACATCAACCTCGACACGAGCAACTGGATGTACCTGTGGCTGTACCTCGTCTTCTTCAACATGCTGTGGGTTTTTATTCCGGCGTGGGCGCTGTGGGTGGCATTCAAGGAGATCACGGGGGCTTTTGACGCGCACAAGGCCCTGGCGAAGAAGAACCTGTAGGGTGTTGCGCTTTGCTGGGTGCTGGCCACGATTCATGGGAGCCGAGAAGACAAGGAAAAGGGGCCTAGGCAGGTAAACCAATGGAGCACATTTGTCTGGAGTCGCTACAACAGCGTAACTCTCAGAGTGTGTAGGCAAGGGTCAGGCACTGCTCATCGGCAGGCCATATTCATTGAAGGGGGGGGGGGGAACCAGGGATTATCGTCCCCCGGACCCTGGTGCCGTGTGTTCTGACCCCCCCGGCGCCCCAACGCAATCGAGACGTCTTTCGGCGCCTTCCGCAAAGAAGTAAAGTGCAGTCACATGTATCACGCTCGGAGTACGCCTCAACGGCACCATCCGCATACCGTTCAGAGTCGATTCATTTTTCCGCTATCATCAAGTCGACCAACAACAAATTATGTACACGAAATCAACGCTGCAGCAGCACCAATATCAGATCTAGTTGCCAGCGTTGGGCCCGCCGAGCCAGGCCTTCATGGGCCAGGGGTCGAGGACGACCTCGCGGTCCTTGAAGTTGCAGTCGGCGAGCTTGTTGAACCACGTGGCGATGCGGAGCACGGCCTTGGCGATCTGCAACTCGGCAATGGGCCAGGCGCCCTCGGCGTAGCCGCTCGTGCGCAGGTCCGAGGCGTTGGTGTTCTGGCTGAAGGCGTAGTCGCAGTTCCACTGGTTGGCGTCGCGCGCCCACTCGAGCGGGCAGGCGAGCGGCGTCGACGGGTCGGTGCAGCTGAGCCAGTCGCGCGTCGGCACAAAGTACGTGTCGGCGCGGATGCGGTCGACCATGTCGCTGAAGAAGGGCTGGATCGTCGTGTTGGGGAAGCCCGTGACGTTGCCGGCGAGCGAGTAGACGATGCGGCCGTCCCAGATCTGGCGCGTGTCAGTTAGACAGATTCTCTTCTCAACGGCACAAGACGGGAAGGCGGCTCACGGCGTGCAGGTTGGTCGTGACGCCGCCAAAGACGACGGGAATGTCGTTGCCGCCGCGCGCAATGCCCGTGACGTGCATGGGCTGCGCAATGTCCATGATGAAGTGGGTGATGAACTTGGCGGCGTTGGCGCACGTGGCGTTGGCGCCGCCGACGAGCTTGCCGTCCTTGACGGAGCGGATGCACGACTTGAGAATCTGCGTCTCGTTGGCGAGCGCGCTGACGATGCAGCCGCCCGACGTGCAGTCGCGGTTGTAGTGCACGTTGCAGAAGCTCGGCGGCTGGTCGGCCGGGTTGATCCAGTGCCACGTCGTCGTGTGCCGGCCCTCGGGCGTGCCGCGGTGCGCGTCGGCCCACGCGCCAATGCGGCCGAGGCTGGCGCCCGACTCGGGCTCGAGGATCTCGCTGAGGATGGCCTTGGCTGCCGGCGAGAGGAACTTTTCGGCCGCGAAGCCAATCTGCTGGTGGACTGGTGGCCTCGAGGTCAGCACGCTGTGCAATTGACGAGGAGGAGGAGGAGGAGGGAGCCTCAGCCGCAGCCGAGAGAACGTCGCGACTCACTATCAGTGTTCCATGCCAGGCCAGGCGCAGCGAAGGCGCCGACGAGGGCGGCAGCAAAGTGAGAGGCACGCATCGTGACGAGGTCGGGTCTAATTGCTGCTACGCGGGGGGGAGACGAACGTGGACTAGAAGGAAGGAGAAAAGAGAAACCAAGTTCACCTCGGAAGCGACCCCTTCATCTTTATCAACACTTTTCTTCCCCCTCTGCGCGAAGCCTGTGAGCTGCATGCGATCTCGTGCCGATCCCGCCGTTCCCCACACCAAGACCACATGGGCAAGGCTCCGAATTCGACGGGCCAGTCCCGCCCCAGTCAGATTGTCATCCAAGAGCCTGGGTTCCTGGGGCTGGCCTGGCATTTGCGAATGCAGCGGGGAGGATACTGGGGAGAGGGGGGAATGGATGACGCCGGGGATTCGCTCGATTCCGGCGTCATTGCCGAAATTGTGGCGCCCCGGCTTGCCGACCTGACTATTTCGGTTAGGACCACTTTCCGGGGTTGGCCCACCCGTGATAACGGAAGATGAGGCGGGGGTTCTTGTCGGCCTTCTCCGGGTCACGTGGAAGATAGTCACGTGAGTGTCGTTTAGCTGAGCAGACGCATAGATGGGATGTGCCTTAAAGCTGTATATAAAGTCCTTCGCCTTAGTCAGATGCCGTTGGTCCGATGGCTGACAGGATGCGAAGCTCAGGACGTGGCGCTCTCACTGCCTCGTCAGGATGCTGCATCATCATCGCCAGCACACAGCCTGCCGTCATCACGATGTGAGGCCGCCAGTCAGCCGAATAGTAGAAAACGGATGTGGATGACCAACTGTGCATTGCTACTCACAATTTCCGTGGCCTTCGAACTTCGGCGGACACTCGCCAACTTGAGGCATACACGCCAAAGCCCGCATCAGCAAAGTGCACCATCGCCACCAATTCGAGCCAGGCATCAGGACAATGGAGGACGCCACCACTTCTCCCGATCCGCTGGGACTTGTCTCATCTCTCTACGGCCCCGGCACGACTGGCGCTTGGATGCTGTCGGGCCTGGCGCTGCTGCTCTCTTGGTCACTTGAGCGCAAGACAAGCGACGACTGGGTGCTGAGTGCTGACCTCGCCGCATTCCTGCTCATCCCCGCCGTGGCTGCTACCGATATCTTCTACCAGCTGTCTGGAACGTCTGAAGCCTTCCGCGGCGATCCGACCGACACAACATACTCGGCGCGTCAGATGGCCCTGCAGGCGCCCTTCGTGCTGTGTCATGACTTTGTCGGTGCCATCAGCTTGCCGTGCGCCTTCATGATTGTCGCCAACCTGCGCGTAGGCGGCCCGCTGCTCAAAGCCCGCCTCGCATGGCTGATCCCCGTTCAAATGTACTGCACGCTTGCAGTCATGGTGGCCTACTCGGCGAACTCGGCGCGAGCTAACTACCAAGTTGTGCCCCTCGGCGGGTGGTCGTTCCACGTCGGAGACGGCCAGCATCTCGTCATCACGATCAGGGCCGCCGAGTTCTTGTTCCATCCGGTGGCATTGTTTGCAGATGGCAAGCTGGTCCGACGACTCGCCGTCTATAACTGGGTGAAGAACGGGTTGCCTCACTTGCTTGTCACGCTGATCTACTATGTCTTCTGCTGTTGCGACAGCGTGGCTGTCATGATCCACTTCGCCATGTATACGGGGCTGATGCCGCAGTCGGCGACGAAACTGGGCGAGCTGGACCAGACGATTGCGCTCGTGGGCGGGTTTCTTGTGTTGGGATCTTCAGTCAGTAGCATCGTGAGGAGCTGGCATCGGCTTCTAGACGAGGGGGAGACCATGTGGTCAGTCCTCGGTCGAAGATTGGGTCTGCTGTCCGACCCGAGCCTGGGCCAGCAAAGCTGGCCTGCTCCACAGAGATAAGCTGTCTGACACGAGTCCATCGACGAACTCTGCTCCCGGGTCTCAGGGATTGACCGTGATCGGCGACTCTATTGCACACGGGACTTTCATATAGAGTAGGCCGTCAGATCATCAAGGATCGCCTAGCGGAGCATGAATGCTGGTGAATACAGGTCGTTCTAAGTGAAGATATGTGATGAGCATTAGGTTTCTCGCCACGGCATACGAAATAGCGACCACTCATCTGGCGAATGACGACTAGCGCATCACAGGCCATCGAATCGAATTACTTGCTGGAGACAGACCGGGCGTAGGTGAAAGATTGGGATTCCCAGACACCAGAAAGGTGCTTCGTCCAGCCCCTAACACCCTCCTTGTCCGCGAAGGCGGACTCTCTCGAGCCATTGTGATTCCGCAGCGCAAGCTTCTCTGTGTAAGAGGCACCACGTCCTGCCGATAGATGGCCTCGATAGAGGCGGCTCACGAATCAGAGGATGGAGAAACACGACGACAAGAGTCAGTCGCTGGCCGGCTCAGCTTGCCTCAGGTGATGGTGCGGTGCTAGCCCGCGCTGAAGCTCATGCCGACTAGAACAACTTCGTTTCAACAGCACAAAGAAGCATCCCCTGCGACTGGTCTGTGAGGCGACTGGTCTGTGAGGCGAGAAGAGATGATGACAGCTGACGGGGAGGTAGGCCGTAGCCTGTCAGGGCGCGCGGGCTCGTTATCTGGCGGGTGGGATGCCAGTGTGGGGAAAGCCGAGGGGGCTTGTCCGCGCCTCAGTGTGGTTGCAGTGAGCAAGGGAGCAACGGAGAGCTAGGTAGGGTACTGTAGACCGTTCATCCTCACCTGAGGTGACCCCTGGCCAAGGTCTTCTCCTTCTGACACGGGGATTGCTTCACATGGCTGCAAATCGAGGGGAACAGACGAACCAACTTTTGGGAAGAGAGCCTCGCTTAGCGCTGCTCCTGAGCGTTCGCTGGCGGGGTCGCGAGGGAGCCCGATTGCGAGATGAGATAGGTATGTTGGGGTCGACTCGCGGATTGGCCCAGAGGGTAGATGTGTGACCAATGCCGAGTTGGCATGTCTTGTTTGCGTCGAAAGGCCATACTGAGGATGCCAACTGGATGTTCGCTATCATGGTCCAGCTAGCTAGCCATGCTGCATCTGGGATGAGGTGCAGAGCTGGCGAGCCAAAGGTTGTAGCTAGATGAAGAGACCAACCAGCAGCATCAGTTGATTTGTGAAGACAAATCCTGAGGCAGGCGACGCCACCGCCAGAATTGGATGTGGCAGCGCTCTGAAGCAGCAATGGGCTGGCCCCGCCATGTATTGTCCGGAGCGACTTCCTCTGCCCTTCTCCGTTGCGTAATTACCGTACCTTATCAGGTAGTAGGTAGGTAAGTGTGCGAGTGAAAGCCGCACGTCAGGTAAGAGCAACGGACCACGAGGGGAAGGGAGAAGGCGGAGTGGGGGGAAGGGGCAAGGGGCACGAGGCAGGTTTGATCCACGCCTCGGCAGTCACGATTCTAGGCCCAGTCAGGCTTAGCGCTTTGCTTTGTCCCAACCTCACCTCACCCATTTCGACCGGTTACAACCAGAACAACAGGGGCCATCGACACGACGAAACTTCAACGTGTTCCATCACTGCGTCAGAGCCTGAGCCTCTCGCCACGTCAATGCCTCTTCCTGGCTCTCTGTCTTCTGCTCAGCTCTCTCCCTCGCCTGCTCACTCGGTCGGTCGCTCGCTTGCGCACTTTGTCGCTCGACAAACCTTCTACACTGGCCAGGGACGGGCTCCAACAGAAACCCGGCTTCATTGAGAGGTGGTGCCCTGCACCATCCCGCTCGCCCTCCCTGTCGTGCCCAGTCTGGCTTGTGGGCTGGCTGTCAGGAAGCCCTGTCAGCGTACCATGGCGTCTTTGTCGGTTGCCGTCCACGAAATGACGCCGTCGAACAAGGACTCGATCCCCGGCTCGTGAACCAAGCATCTGCACGTCAGAAGGCCAGAGCCTGCTGTGCCTGTCAGCCCACACGCTGCCCACACACCACCTACAGCTCCCTGATCCAATCGCAGTGCTGCCGTGCCCCCGGCCTTCACCTCGACAGCCTCCCATGCCCGGATCGTGTGGCGGTTTGGCTAACGACCCGGCTCGCCTCTCGTCCGCGTGGGGCCCATCCAGATCGCGGGGCCTGTGCCTGGGTCTCTATGTGCCTCTGTACCCGTTCTCCCCGCTCCTCAGCGTCAGCCCGCCACAGACAACCGTGAGGTACTTGGTATCGCTGCCTGTACATTGAGCTTGTAGACACGGCTCGGTACCCCGTCCCCAGAGCAGCGTCTGCCGCTCTCGCCATTCATCCCTTTGGTGCCCAAATTTGGCCTCAGTACTTCGTATGATGGACAGCCGAGTGGCAGAAAATACATGTCACCAATTGAATTAAGGATATAGTGGGCAGTACATCTAGATGCCTGTACAGTACCTATATACTATGTACATGGCTGTACCTACTGAGATCCACCTTCAAGCTCTTGAAGCAGGCGGTGATCAATGTATGTACTGAGGCCAAATTTGGGCACTAAAGGGATAGGCTCCAGGCCAGGCCTAGCGGCGGTTCAGGGTCTGTTTCGTCCCATCCATGGTCCCGTCCTCCAGGTCCGCCGCTTTCTCAGTGTTCCCTCGCTCTTGACCATGGCCTGACCCTCGCTCGTCACAGCTTGACTCTTCTCCTCTCTCATCCCATCCTCCATTCACTCGTTCAATTTCCTTCCCGTCATCTCCCTTTATTTTCTCTCCGCCACGTCAATCTACCAGACACAGGCGTTCCCACACGACAACCCAACCTTCATGGCCTGGATGGTTTCCGCTACCCACTGATCTTTGGCTTCGTCGCGGCTGGTCGCCTACGCTCTTTTCATATCGACAGCCTGCCGTCTTCGCCAATATGGACTCGTGGGGCTGGATGAACCCCCATAACGACCTCTGGGCGCGGGACGACGGCAGTGCTAATGGCATCGGCAACACGAACGGCGGCTCGACCAACTCCTTCGCCGGCCAGAACAACGACACCTCCCAGGCCGCCCTCATCAACGAGTTTCGATTCGCCGCCGCCAAGTCTATCCGCACGTCTGTCATCATCCTCGCCGCCTTCAATGTCGTCGCCGCCTTCGCCACCGCCGTCGGTATCATCTGGCACAGCTACGCCACGAAGAAGCGGAAGGATCCGAGATTCAAGTTCTTGTGCGTGGGCATCAATGGCAGAGCTATGAGACGTCTTGTCAAGCTAACGTGCACCAGGGCCTGCGGGTTCACCTTTGTCGCGCCGGCGGAGACGTTTCCCCTCGTCTTGTCCGTCGGCATTGTCGTTCAGGGCATTACGTTCGCCGTCGCACAGTCGACCGGTCTCAAGTCCATGTTGATCCTGGGCTGTACCACTACTTCTCAGATGATGTTGCCTGGTCCGTCAATACAATCAGCGTCGTCATGCGTTCTGTTTGCTAATTCTCTGATTAGCGGTTTTCATCGTCCCTTATATTCAATTTGTATTTGGCCTCGAGGTCACCTCACGGGCATTACGACAGCAGCCGTTCGCAGGTCGGGGCAAATGGACTGTCGCTGGTTGCCTTGCCATTGTTGGCACCCTACTACTTGTTACCTTTGTCGTCACGCTTTTCATTCGTCCTCCCAACTTTTGCTTTGGCTCCCTGTTCTGGTTTGTCCAGCGCTGGAAGGCTGGCGTCTTCATCCTCCTCATCGTCATTGCCGCAACGCTCCTCGTCTGCACCGTCATCATTGCCTGGCGGCTGCACAACAACTGCCAGATCGACGAGTCTGAGCGCGTGGCGGCCTCAAGGATGGTCTACTACTTGACCATGGCCATCATCTCTACCGTACGTTTGTTGATCCGTTTGCCACCTGTATAACATGCATTCTTACCAAGCACACAGGTCTTCATGATTCCCTTCTTCTATACCATCGTCTTCAACGATCTCAGGACTGCCGGCTCGCAGCCCCTGAATCTTTCCATGATCGCCTCCGTCGTCGCCAACCTTTCTGGTCTTCTCACGGGTGGCTTGCATCTGTTCCTCCGCGCCAACTGCCTCGCCACGATCGGTGCCCGCGAGCAGTGCGAAAAAGACCGCAAGAAGCTCAAGGAAGGCATCCGAGTGTGGCCTGGTGACTACGACTACAATTCGAATGCCGGCTCGCCATCTCGATCACGGGCACCTGAGCGCCTGGACAGCAGCGTGGCGTATGGGAAGATGGAGGAGGAGCGCATCGAGAGCCCGACCGGCACACCAACCTATGACAGCCGCAACGCCCCTCGCTTGCCTGCCCTGCGACCCCCCACCGTTCCGTCTGGCCCGACGATTGTCGAGCCGACACCGCCCGCATCCACCCTCCAGGTCATCAAGGACCAGATCCGCAAGTCCACCTACTCGCTCTTCCCTCGCGACAGCAGCGGCGCACGGTCTTTCACCCTTCTTCCCGCGACAACATACTCGCCCAACGCAACGACGCCTCGTGGTGAGAAGTTCATTGACAACGACGATGACATGCAGTCGCTCGTGCCCCCACCACTGGTTCACGCTGGCGGTGTCCGTCACCGCCGCGATTCGTCCATGCACTCCCATGCCACGGTGCAGATTGGCTTGCGATTCTCCAACGCCGAGGACGCACCAGCTCTCAACTCTCGCTACTTCCGGGATAGCGAAGAGGTCCACGTGCTCGGCTGCCCGCTGGAGCGAGAGAAAGACGGGTCCAAGCGGCCGAGCCCGCTGAACGCGGCTGTCACCAACAGCTATGACGGCGAGTCGACGCTCATCGGCTCGTCGGCGGCGCGCGACTCGGGCCCGACACTCAACTCGGCCGTGTACACGCCGTTCAGCCCCAAATCGCGCATCACGAGCCCAAAGGGTGTGGGCTTTGACACACCGAAGCGCATGGCCAGCCTACAACGGGCCGGCAAGGAGAGGTGCTACAAGCCCGACTGCGACTGCGACCTGCTGCACAAGCCCGATTGGATCTAGCGGGCCAGTATGCGGGCCCGGATGCAGGCGTTAGAGAGAGAGAGACGGTGTGCTAAGTTGATTACATCGGCAAGGAGTTGGTGGGGAGAGGAGAGAACATTTCATGAAATATATATGGCCCTTTTTTGTAGACGGCGTGGGCCGTCTTGTTTTTACACTTTCCTTCTGTTCGGCAGAATCTGATACCTATACGACTGGGACGGTCGACGCCGGGTTTGGTGAAGTTGGTATTTCAGGCGTGTGCGTGTGTGTATGTATGCATGTGACCGAGCGAGTAAGAGACGGACACGAAAACTATCAAGAGAGGGGGTGGGGATTTTCCGCTGAGGATGGGCCAGAGCATGGCCTCTGCATATATCTAGGTACCTTTCTTGAATGCAAGACGGGCTCAGCATAAACATGTGCAGTCGGTGGTGATCATGGCAGCACGGTGGTTTGTAACTCCATACGTTGCTCGGTCGTGTATTCTTTTTATTCTTTGGGGGGTATCTCTCTGCAGTCTCGGCTCAATCGCCCTCACCTCTTCTTGGCCTTCTCCTGGCGGACCAGCGCGTCGTCCTCACGCACGCGCTTCTCCTCCCAGCGCTCCCAGCCGGCCTGGCAAAAGTCCTCCTCGAGCAGCAGGTCGCGGGACGCGGAACCAGCGCACGACGGGGCCACCGCAGGACCCAGGCGAGCAGGCCGACGTCGCGGGCGTGGGTTGTGGCGGCGAACCAGGCGACGGCGCAGGCGGCGCCGGCGGTGAGGCCGACGAGGACCTGCTTGGTCGTGTGGTAGCCGAGGTAGACCCTGCTCCAGGCGACGGCGGCGGCGGTGGCGACGGCGACGAGGGCGGCGACGGCGCGTTCGGCGCGGGACAGGGCGCGCGAGCGGTAGGGGCTGCTTCTGTTGCCGCTACTGCTGCTGCTGGCGCCGTCTGCCGCGGTCTGTCGAGCGGGGGGCCCGCGGTGGCGGACAAAGAGGAAGAGGACGAGGTAGAGGGCCCAGAAGGCGACGAACTGGGCGTGGGACGAGGGCATGCCGTAGCCCTTGCCGTGGATGCGGCGGGGGCGGTCCTCCTTGATGAGGCGCTTCAGGGCAAAGTTGACGGCCTCGCAGGCGAGCTGGCCGGCGAACATGAGGGCGACCTCGGCCTCGCGCGAGGCAAAGGCCAGGGTCGCGTAGACGACGCAGAGGGCCTGCGGCAGGAGGGCGAGCCAGGCGCAGACGAGGGAGAGGGGGTCGGAGGGGTCCTGCGGTGCGGTGCGGTGCGTCAGCTTCACGCGGTTCTTGCAGCGTTGCAGAGAAGGTCTGCAGAGGGTGCAGGGGGCGCCGGAGGGGTCTGCAAGAAACGGAGAGGGCACGGCATACATAGTAGACGTGGGTAAGGGACAGCGAGGCGAGGGGTCGCGTGTCGTCCATGGTCGTGACGGCGGCGGCGGCCCTGGGGGGTAGAGAGGGAGCGACGGGGTGTATCGGCGGTCGGAGGCCTATGATCTTGGGCCTGATGATCAACCCCTCTCCGAGTAGAGGACGGTACCTAGGCAGAGGAGAGTTGGACGGTCAAGGGGGGGCAGGTGTGGCGGTCGTGGTCGTGGTCGTGGTCGAGGCCAAAATGTCGAGTCTTGGGCGTCTTGGGCGTCTTTGGCGTCTTTGGCGTCTTTGGCCTCGAGACGAGACATGTGACGCCAGTGGCACCTTCCCAGGGTCTGGGTCTGGATCTGGGTGTGGGCGGGTCAGGAACGACTGGACATGCTGACGTAACCACCCCCCCTCGTGGCTTCCAGGCGTCAGCACCTCCCTCGCTGTGCTACCGGGCAGGTGCTCCCTCGTGGGGCTGCAGGTGCCACCTTGGCTAGGAACCTGGCAGGCGCTGCCCGGCAGGTAAGATGGTAAGGTGTCAGGTGTCAGGTACGGCGGCAGGTACTGTGGCCCTGCTCAGGCTTCATCTCATCGTGCTCTCGGCGAGGCGGCGAAAGAGTCATCCCACGACCTCTTGTCCGCCACCACTTTCTGGAGCACGCCGTCTGGAAGCAAAGGGTGGCGAAGAGAAGCGAGCGAAAGATACAGAACAGCATGACACGATCGACCGCCTTCTCGCCGCTCCGAGATTCTCGACACCATCTCAAGGCAGCCAGAACGAGCCGCTGGGCACCTTTTTGAACGCTGGCTGTGTGAGTGTGGGTTGTCGACCCGACCGACGATTCTCGTCTCTGCTACTACTTGGTGCATCACTACTTGGTGCATCACTACGCAGTGCATCACTACGCAGTGCATCACTACGCAGTGCATCACTACGCAGTATCCACCTCAACTCATCATCACTCCAGCACAGACAACACAACGCTTCGCTCATGATTTGACGACCACTGCCTTCGCGCGCAAACAACTCATTCGCATTTACATCTGCATTACAGTACATCTCTTCATCTATGCATATCCGGACGACAGCCTCCTCGTTATGATCTCGCTGCCCCGGACGCCGCATCAACACCAACACCACCACCACCACCATGGACGATGACGATGGCGCCGACGAGCGCTACATCGAGCTTGAAACCCTCGAGGCCATCTTCCCCGAGATTCAGAAACACACGCCCGCCCCCGCCCCCGCCCCCGCCACGCCGACGAACCTCGAGTTCTCTCTCGAGCTCCCCGTCCATCCCGCCAACCCAGTCACCGTCCTCTTCCCCGCCGCCTCGGACCCGGCCAACCCTCTCACCACCCAGGATGCCACCACCTCCGCCGCCACTGCTGCGACCGCCCAGGCCGGCGACGGCCCTGTCGACTCGCACGAGCTCGTCCATCTGCCCGCCGTCCTCCTGCGCATCGCTCTGCCGCCGGGCTATCCCGCCGAGCAGCCCCCCGCCGTCGCCATCACCACGACGCCGCCCTGGCTGACGCCGGAGACGGTCGAGAAACTCGAGCGCGACGGGCCCCGTATGTGGGCCGACGCCGGCCGCAACCTTGTCGCCTTTGACTACATCGACCACGTCCAGCAGGCCGCTGACGCTGTCTTCCACATGATTGACGCCGCCGGCACACTGCGCATCGACCCCTCGCACAAGCTCGCCATTCTCGACTACGACATTCAGGCCCGCCGCGCCGCCTTTGCGCGCGAGACGTTTGACTGCGGCGTCTGTCTTGGTGAGGATGCCCCCTCTCCCCCTCCCATGAGCGCATTTTTATATTCTAGTGTCACTTCACTTGGTGCACATAAGCTCCGTCTTCCTGATGCCGACCTGATCTCGCCAGCCTGTGACAGTACTCTACATGGGGTAGTGGAATCATGCCTGCTAACATTGCGCAGAGCCCAAAAAAGGCGCCGTCTGCCACCAGATGCTCGACTGTCGTCATGTCTTCTGCGCCGCCTGCCTCCTGGACTTTTACGCCACCGCCATCACCGAGGGCGACCTCGCCACCGTGCGATGCCTCGCCCCCAGCTGCGCCAAAGACCGCGCTGCTGCCGCTGATCGTCCTGCTGGCGGTCCTGCTGCTGCCGCACCCACCGCCGCCGTCAAGAAGAAGAAAAAGGTGAAGACCTTCATCAGCCCGAGCGAGCTCCTCCAGATGGGCCTCTCCCAAGAGCTCGTCACCCGCTACGTTACCCTCATGTACAAGACGGAGCTCGAGTCGGACAAGAACACCATCTATTGCCCTCGCTCCTGGTGCGAAGGCGCCGCCCGCTCCAAGAAGCACAAGAAGCCTTCCGGTCTCGAGCTGGGTGAGGCGTCTGACGACTCGGACGATGCCGACGCCGACGCCGACGCGGAAGCCGAGGGCGGCGCCACCACGAAGCAGAAGAAAAGAAAGAAGAAGAAAAAGGCGGCATATGACCCCGCCGATCTGCTGTCCATCTGCGAGGAGTGCGGCTTCGCTTTTTGCAGCCGGTGCTGCCAGTCCTGGCACGGCGAGTTCGTCTCGTGCATGCCTCCGCGCGACACGGGCGAGCTCTCCGCCGAGGAGCAGGCCTCGATAGACTACCTCAAGCTGCACTCTACGCCCTGTCCCACCTGCGCTGCCCCCGCGCAAAAGACGCATGGCTGCAACCACATGATCTGCTTCCGGTGCAACTCGCACTTTTGCTACCTGTGCTCGGCCTGGCTCGACCCCGCCAACCCGTACCAGCACTTCAATGAGCAGCCGGGCGGGAAGCGCACCTCGTGCTACATGCGCCTGTGGGAACTCGAGGAGGGTGACGGAGACGACGTCGGCTACGGCTTTGCAGGCGGCGCCGGTGGTGACCAGGCTGCCGTGCAACCGCCTCCTGCTGTTCTGCCAGACGACGTCGACGTCCCGCCAGTCCTCGACGACGACCCAGCCGGCCACGACGAGAGCGACAGCGACAGTGACGATGGGCGGGAGGCCAATGACCAGGCCCCACGAGACAACGTCCCCGGCGCCGTGGCGCGCGAGGGCCCTCTTGTCCTGCGCATCGGCGGAGACCCCCAACCACGCATCGCCGTGCCTCCTCCTGCACCTCAGGCGCCGCCGCCGCCGCCGCCGCCAGGCCGCGGTCGAGGCGGCCATCACGGCGCGAACCACGCTCGCGGGGGGCGTGGAAATGGGCATGGACCTGGACGTGGCAACAACAGAGGCGCCGGTGTGCGCGCTGGTCCTCGACCGAACGGGGCCCAAGAACGCGCGGGAGGAAACATGCCTCGCCGCATCCCCGTCAGACACGGAGATGGGGCCGACGAGATGAATCCACAGGACGCGGCCTGGGTCAGGAACTTTGTCCAGATGGCCCTGGCCGACGTCGAGGACGACAGTGACGGGGAAGCCGACGACCTTGTGCTGTTCGCCATGGCTCAATGACCTTGGCCACCTACATAGTAGATATGCGCACCACCACTGACTGACCGACCCTTACGCAAACCGGAACACGGGGAATGGTCGCAGGTGAACCGAGGGCGGCACTCGAAAGAAAACAGGCTCAATTCTCGCTCTCCACCCCTTCCACGTCTCCCCCTCGACCCTCGCCCCTCCCCCCCTGAATGCGTGTTTCTGTGGTGTGTCCTCGTACGATTCTGTGATCCGGGAACGCTCCATTCTGCGCATGACCGGTGTGATTCCCAAGTCCGTCCTGTCTCGAGCACATGCGCACTCCCTACGTACCTGATGGGTAGCAGCCGTGGCTCTCGCACCCCGCCTGCGCAGGGGCGCAAGCAATGACTGGCTGCCGGTGGGCCTCCCGAATGGCACAACCCTGAGCGGCCTGTGGAGGGGGGGGGAGGGGGGCAAGGGCAGGCTTGATTCGATGGTGGTGGAGGCTCGCCGCCCGTTCGATGATACCCTCCTTCATCCTACGAATCAGCGTGGCAGCTGCCGCAGGTCGAGACCAGCCGCCCCAATTGATTCTTGGACGCAACAGGACCAGGAGAATCTTGACGGCATCCGCAATAGGCGTAGCTGGGCCTTTCTCTCCCGATAGCTTCAGGCCAGGTGTCCGTATCGAAAGAGAGATGATGGTCAGAACGAGCTGCTTGCAGAAAGCGGATGCAGGCTGTACCGCACCGAACCTTCCCTTGGGTCAACAGAACCACGGACGTGCGTTCCTCTGGCTCGGCTCCGTACTCCGGGCAATCAGCCATCCAGGGTCGCGAACGAGACGGTAATCAAATATGTTGGGCCGTGTGTTGTGCCGTGTGTTGAGGCAGGGATGGGTCCTATGGGGGGGGAGTCCTGGAGCTCGCAACCCGTTTTCGTTCCGCGGCGACAAGTACCGGAAGATTAGAGTCCAAGGCTGTCCACATATTCTGCAGAGTCGAGGTAGAAACATTGGTGAGGTATCGATGACCATAAAACGAGCATCAGAAACACGGGAAGGGATATCCCTGCTCGAACCATCGTGATGCGCACCAGGTTTTTCACGACCTTCCTCTTGAAGATACTCGCGCCTTGGAAGCGTCCAGAGGAGCCAGGAGGACCCCGAACAAAACCTCGTAGGAGACTCGCCACCTCCCAGGAACAGCACTGCACCACACTGTGCAGTACAGTAGCATGGCGATTCGCGAACGACACTGATGATGGGTGGCCAACCCCAAAACGTCCCCTCCCGTAAGTTGGCGACGAACTCAGGACAAGCTTGGACACTCCACTTGCAGAGGCATGGTGCCGGTCGGAGAAAATCCCCAGATTCGATGCAACTCTGCCCTTGGGGGAGATGGCCTCACGTAGGGCCAGGAAAAGGGAGCCGCCGTCGTCTGGGATCAGGGCATAGAGTTTGCGGGCCTGACCCTGCCTTCGTCGGCCGCGGAAGGAGTCGCGGAAGTAGTCGCCGTCTGGCTACAGCAAGATCACCTTGAATCTGAGCCCTGCTGTACATACAGTACTTTAGACGCACGCAGCACTCTTTCTTCTGGGGCGGGGGCAGGTCCCTCTCGTATGCGGCAGTTGGGCCACTGCTTGGTGATATGACATGGCATGCAGGAGACGACAACTGGGTGCTGAGCCGCCAGTCGCATCTCTGCAAACTGTGATGCCCCCCCCCCCCCCCCCCCCGGCCCGCTCGCATTCAGGGCAAAATACCAACGAGTGTGCGGCCGGTATGGCTCTGGACATGGAAACGCCGCTGTTTCCCTTCCATCGTCGCTTATCGATGGTAATTTTCCGACGTTGTTGAGAGGAATTGGAGCGTTGAGCCGAAGAGCAGTGCCGTTCCTTGGGCCTCTCTCGCCGTACATTCGTCATGAAGCGATCCCCAAGGCTGTCTTGTCGTCTGCCCAAACCAAGACATGATACGGCTAAACTACCGAGCCCAGGACCACTGAGCCATGTGTCAGTGAGACAAAAGGCCACGAGGCGTGATTGGGAGAACCATAACAAGGAAGGCAGCCAGGCCCTGCAAAGCCCCCAGCAAAAATTCACTTCCATACCGACACCGTCTAATGCCCACATTTGAAGATACGCCAGCCTAGCATCTGCACCATCATAATAACGAGCTTGCTATCAGAGGGGGTACGTACGGCCTGTCTGCCCGACAGTCAAGCGTAGCATTCCAAAAGCTTCGCCTTCGGACGGGTACACCGTCGACCTGAGGTTATGGATCTTTGTGAGCAACGGAGAGCGACCTGAGACGAAGATCCTCCTTTCTGCCAAGGCTGATCTGTGATGCAAGGGCAGTCTACGCTCTGTGCACCGAGTCGCCTTTGCCGCGCGCAGCTCTCGATCAGGTTGCATGCACAACTGGTGTACATAGTATACACTAGCATGCATCGAGGTTGCGAGCTACCGCGATGACGAGCCAGCCACCAGACTTCCTTTCCTTGAGCAGTGACTTGCATACATGGGCTTACAGGCACATCGCCGTATAACCCACTAGCCTAGGAGATGAAGAGAACGAGAGAACGAAACAGGAAAGCTTGGATGCGCCCATGTGCGGCGGACTTCAGCCTTGGGAGGACAGAAGTACTTCCAGGAGGTGAGGCAAGATGCCATGAACCACGTCTTGCTGTCGCTCTCCCGATGTGGTCCTCAGAATGCCAAAAGGCTCGTCTGGGCTGGCTCTGGGCCATCTTATGATGCAACTCGATCACTAAAGTCGTTTCATTCTGCACAATTCATCAGACGCTTAGCTCTATCACCATGGGAAGTGGGAGACGTCACCGTTCTTGATTCTTCACCGAGGAAGTTTGGGTACGGTCCGCCTGCCAACCAGCCTCAGAGCATTTGCCGTGGACTTAACACAGCACCTATAGCCTTGAAACAACCAGGTCCACAACAGCATTTGATTGAGCCAACCAGGGGTATCGAGACCTTGGAATTAGGCGCGTTGGAGGAATCAAAAGCCCACCGGGCCTGAACTCTGAAAGGGGTGAGCTAGTTGCTAGTGTACCAAAGTTTGGCAGCCCAACAATGCATCCTGTGTGTGGCTGGTCGACAGGTCGAACGAATTAAGGTGTGCAGCCATTACGGAGGCCATCCCATTTTGGCGGGCTGCCGCACACAGACAGCAGCCTAGAGAATCAAACAAGGAGTGAAGGCCTGGAACATTAGCAGCTTGGGGAACGGTTCTCCCTGTAACGCCTCGGCCGAGCAGCAGCCGCGCTTGGGGCTTGATGTCTGCAGGTAGAAGCCCAAAGTCTGGCAGGTTTCGCTGAGGCCTGGCGAATCTGGACGGGTGAGATCTCATACAATTGATATTTTCAGGCTAAACTGTCAAACAGCGGCACATTAGTTATGTGAACATGCTTGGCCGCCGCCTCTGCGAAAGTGACTGGCATAGCCGAACAGCCCACCCCCGGTCACGCCTAAATCTAGAAGAGTCTTTGCGCAGCATCAGAAAGGAAGGCGTTTGGTTGTTGACTTCCAAATGGGGAGGACCGAAAAAGATTGGCATGGCTCAGTCATGGCCAATATCGATGCGTGAATTTTGACAGCAACTGTCGAGGCCAGTTGCAACATGCGCTATCGCTTGCGCCAAAGCAATGCCAGCCATACCTTCATCTCGCAGTGGAAGCCCTATCAGAAACCTCCGAAGTAGATCGTCATGCGGGCCCCGGGCGACCGCCTGACTATTGCAGCTTTGGCAACGGACAATTACCTGGTATGGAAATGACTCGGGTCCTGCTTCTGAACTTGGACAACATTGCGCATTGTAAGGCGATTCTGACGACGTGATCTCCGGTTGCCGAGATATTTAGGCAATCGCAACCTTGTGTCTTGTGATGGTTCGGCCGAGTCTACCATTTGGCAGGAAAACTGGGCTACAGGGATCATGACGATCTGTCCTACCATCGCGATGGTCAAGACATAAGGCACGTGTTGGTAGGTAGCAGCGTGGGATGACGAGGTAGCCTGCCAGGCATGGAAACCACGATCTCATCAGACCAGCCTCTTAAAGGCCAGTGATGCATGTTCCCTTGGTCCGCAATTGAATCCATGGGGTGTGCTGACCCACAGCCGCTTGCCGATCTCGCTGAAAGAGTCAGATTAGCATTGGCATATTGTTTTTCTACATGTACTTACCGTCGCGTCTCTCAATTGTTTTTTTCACGACATGGAAACCGTCAGCAGCTTGCGCCCGCCCTGAGCGCGACAGTGTCCATGAACCAAGCTCGCAGCCGCTTGGACCTCTGGGTCCGCTCACGTCGTTGATCAACGCCATGTCCTCGGACGCGCGATGGCTGAGTCAACTCTGACAAGTCGCCCATCAGTCCATTCGCGTGCAAGGGAAACAAGCTAAGATCACCACCCGTAATTCCAGCACGAACCTGGAGGTGGGGCCCGTTCAAGGGGGGGCTGCCAGGAACCTGGTGTTCAATCCCCAGAGGACGTGATGCATTGACGACAAGCCCTGTACTCATGATTGCCCTTCTTGACATGAGGTGGACAAGACATGGTTTTTAGGGAAGGAGCAACAGGGTTCAAATTCTCAATAAGGCGCTTGTCATCGATAGAAGCGGAGATCGGCGTCCAAAAGGAGTCTGCCGTGCCGGAGCAGGTACCTAGATGAAAGCTGGGCGGTCAACGAATACAGAATGCTGTTCAGGACCCGGAGAAATGCTCTTCAATATGCCAGGGGGGCGGGCCTCCTCGGCAACAGCGGTTCGCAGCCGAGGAAACATTGAGGCGCTGTGGTACATTTTGTTTCGGGTTGCATCCTCTTCCTACGAAGACTGGGGCTTGAAAGTGTAGGTTGTTTTGAATTGCATGGTTGCCAACAGAAACAGCGCTGCTGCGAGGAACAAACGACGGCTGTCAAAGGGAAGGTCAGTGATACAGCGATTCCTCTTTGGAATCCACCGACACTCCACCCGTAGTCTCATTCTTGGTCTAGTTCGCCTTTGTTCGAGGGACGAAGAAAGCTACTCAAG